AAAAGTGCTGTTTCTTCAAAAAATAATATATTAAACTCCCAGGTTAAAGCAACATAATCTTCAACCATTGCACTCTCAGGTGTAACAATCGATTTCAAGAGGTAAAGATTAAATTGCCTTATCTCATTATCCATATATGCCATTGTTTTGTAGGTTGTCACTCGCCCTTGGCAGTCAACCAGATGAACACAAAGTCTGCAGAGAAAGGAGAGTTTCCATAGTGCTGAATTGTCATTATAGAAGTTACAAGGTTGAATAAGCAATAAGAAGTTGGGATGTAATGAATTATGAGGATACAGGTCACAAGAAGAGATGTAACTATTTTGTTCAAGATAACAATATGAGATGAAAGTAATAGTTTCACAAACTGCTTTCTACTTTATAAACAGCTTTAAAGATTATGATAAAGAACATTATGTTTTTAACAATGTATGACTATGTGCATTGTAATAATTTGTTTTCTTTAAAACAAACATTTCCTACACATTAACTCTTTTATAACAGGATCAACAGGCTGATGAAGCATCCTGAATCAAATGTTGGGGACAAACTGGATTTAAATGTTTTTGGTCTGTTTTTAGCAGAGGTGTTGCATTGCAATTTGGGAGTAAATTAATAAACAAACCAACCTACTATTTGCCTTGACAGACTTCTGTCATCTCTAGAAATACTCAGATTACTCTGTCATCTGCTTTGGAGCATGGTGCAGAAACGATCATCTTTAATGTGAACTAAAAATAGGAAATTATTATAATTTCAATGGAAACAGGATGAGATCAAATACTATTTCCTACATTAGAGAGGAAGTGAAAGTGGTGGAGGAATATAAATGATTCGGTTTTCAACTGGACTATAAATTGGACAGCTTTAAGCACACACACTTTAATGCAGAAAAGTAATTAGAAATAGCTGTCAGATGCTGACAGAAATTGAGACAAATTTTCCTTTGATGTGAAATATTGCAGTCATTTTGAGAAAACTCACTCACTCACTTGCTTTACCTCCACTAAACAAAATCATTTCTTATCTAGATTTTTTTTTTTTTTATTTACCCACCTTTGAAACTTTTTAGGATGTTATGCGAAAAGACAGCATTTGATATTCTCCTGGATGCTTGACATAAAACGTAAGATAACATCCATTGGGAAGCAGGGCATGACTTCTATGCCATCAACTACTTGTCTTTGCTGGTTTTATTTGAGTGGACCAAAAGATATGTCTTATTTGAATAATCAGTCTGGTCATGGACAGTCACACACACTGATTGAGGCGCACATCTCACTGCCAGCGTTGGGCCTTGTTTATTTATTTGTTATATGTCTGAACTTGCCTGTCTTGATGTTGTTGTGTTGTAAGTGAGTCAGAAAGGGGGCCCTTAATTTAATCAGTGGGCTCTCCTGTTGGATTGAGACTATCCCGCAGATCTATGGTAATACACAGCCCGGGGTGGAGGACAATTCCATTAGTGGAGGACAGTGACTGGGGCCGATAGTGCTACAGATAGGACCCCCTTCCTTCTTCCTCTGGCTCCCTTTGGCTGACTGGCGTTATAGCTCCTTCAACCTCAAGTTTTCAGACGGCTTTGTGCAACTCTGAGTAAATCCAGAGCCTGCAAAAACAATATAAAATAAAATATTGCCACCATTTTAGAAATAAACCTAATCAAATTGTTCAGTCATTTATTAAAGAAGTGCACATGTAAGATTACATTTTTATTATTTTGGTCATCATCTTTGAATCACTAGTGTCTTGGTGTGTCAAAAAATGCATCATAATTTGTGTCCTGTTTTTAAAATATATACGTTGTTTACTTTCTCTTACCAATTCTTGTCTTTTTTGGATTTATAAAAAACAGTTTGAGGTAAATGTTGAAAGTTAAATTAATTAGAATGTCAGATTTTCATTAGTGTAGACAGAGCATTTTCATAACTTAGCATTAGATTAATAATGCTGTTTTGGGGGTTTTCTGCTGTATTTGAGTAGCACTGATTGGAAAAACAATGGATTATATTGGACTTAGCAGAGTACAAGGTGCGAAAGAGACAATAGCCATTGATTTTTTATTTATTTATTTACTTATTCATTGAGACTGTTTACACCAACATGGACACATAGCGAAATTGAGATTATTTTTATACAAACTGAATTTTGTATAAGAATTTTTGAAAAAACAAAAATTTTAACCAGTTCTTTCCCCACAACTTAAATGACGGTATTCAGTTTCCAATATAAGCTTAAAATATTGTATGAATAAGAAGAACTAATCAAACACATCAGATGAAACATGAGGTACAATTATTTTTCATAATCTCATCAACGTTATCTTGCCATTGTTGTGTTTGTACTCTGAATCTTCTCCTGGGTTTTGATGAGGTTATTGACTATGCCTTGGCCTCCTACAGGTGAGCATTGGTATTGCACCTACTTTGACTGGAATCATCGCTGACTTTTTGAAAACCAAAATCAGTTTAACACATGTTCACACCAGAGCAGTAAAGGCCCAAGGCAGAATAAAACATGTATTTGTCCAATGTGTATGCTATTCAGAGACATTCCCAAGGCATGGCTAGATTTAGTTTACATTTTTCAGCCAACCTTTACAAAGTTGGGCCAGCAAGTGAGTCAGACTTGGCCAGCCTCTGATAAAGCCTGTGATGAAAGCCCACCACTCTTGTTTTTATTGTCCACTCTCCACCAGGCGGAGTGTTGTGGGAACTCTGGAGACTTGTGGCTGCTGTTTGATCACACTCTGGGAGTTTGACCTGTCACTAAGTGGTGGCAAACACAGCCCACACACAGAGCAGCGAGCATCGACAAATCTATATGTGTGTACGTGTTTCCCACACACAGTGCCGCATACCTCACCAGAGGAGGCAGGTCACAACATGTCAGAGTGTTGAGGATTCATAATGGCCATTTAGCCTTCAACAGCTAATATCAGCACTGCTGATTTACAAGGAATTGGGTTGTTCTGTTCCTGTACTCAGGAGTTGCTCATGGCAAACCTGTTTGAAATTAGACTGTATTAAAGTGCCACACGAAGGAACACAGATACAGAATTGCACCCATTTATATACGTACCATAATGATAACGACAAAAATAAACTAATTCCAGAGTTTGATGTCTAACCATCACAAACCTTGGACCCGTTTCCATAGTTTGAAGAATGCCAATTGGTAACCAGCTGTTTACAGCCAGAAAGAGTGACAGGGACCGCAGGGACCTACTGAAACTCCATGGAATGACAGAAGCATGGTGACAAGTGATGACGGCACCCTCTCTCATGCTTGTGTTCCTAAACTGCATAGGACAGCACCTTCAGCAATAAGACAAGATGGAGATCATACACAATGCTAAGCTAATAGCCACAATATGCTCTGTGGAAGTCAGCTTTGATAGAGGCTTGGCTCCATGATCACTGCTGATTGGGGAACAGCGTGACTCGTGGATGTCGGATTGCATATTGGAAAAACAGCAATACGTCGTCAAGCTGGTTTCCAAGACTACAATAAGAACTGGGTAAAAAAATCTTTAAAAGATACAATAGTGTTCAGTGATGGGTAAATAATGATGAGCTACTGGATTTGACCTTAAATTCAACTTAAAAAACCCATTTCTGAAAAGTGTCACTTAAGCGCTAATGGAGACTGTGTTTGGTGTTTGTTGGAGATATTTGTGGCAGCGGTAAAGTGTACACAACATGTCTGTGAAGATTTGACTAGACGGCCAAGCGAATAACATTCTGTAACAACTCTTTAAGCTTAGCTTCTTGAAAAAAAACGTGCACATTTTACTGGCCTCTGTGACCAACTGGAGACCAGAGAGACATTGACATGACCCAGATAATAGGCCCAAAGTCTTGCCTCCACAATTTGATCAATTTGCAGTTTCCTCATAATCGCAGGCACCGTGCTGTCCCCCGCAGCTACTGTGGACCCCTCTCCCCTTCTTTCCCCAACACCCATCCATGCAGACACATTGCATAGTCGCCACAGCAAGATGCGCTGCCTTTCTCCCCTTTTCCCCCCAAATCACTGCTAAGCCTGCATGATGCCTGCTGCCAGGACACAAACGTGCTCTTGCTCCTGTCATCTCTTAGCAGGCACAGACAGGAGAGAAAAAAGCTGACAGTTTGTCTTGTACCATATGCCACGTGGCAGCAATGCCTAACTGATATGGCCAGAGTTTGGGTCACAGCCAACGGCTGCTTTATTCTATCTATTTTATTTTCTTTCTTCCTTGAATGTGCATGCATCTTGAGTGGAAATCTTAAATATAATCGCTGTGCTGTCAGCAGGGTGGATTTACTGCCTCGGCCCAGCAAGTTGAAAGAGCTATGTTGGCTATTATTTAAAGAATAATTTAAATACAGCTCTCAGATAGCTTACACTTTGTTGAAATTGCTCCACTCATTAGACATAGGCAGTGGTATGCAAAAAGAATGCATGTTTTTTTCCGCAGAAAATAAGAAAAAAACATTTAGTTAAGTCCCCTCCTCCCCTTTGCCTTAAGAAATATTAGTTTTCAGCACATCCTCTCAGTCATGAATTTACCTGTGGGGTCTTTTCTTGCACAGAGCCAGGAGAGGAATTTGAGTAATGCTGTAGGTAGTTTAAAATTGACTTGTGTAGTTTTGGCTTAGTGAAAGCAAATTTGTTGCTCATGATGTTTTTAACCCCTAAGATAGCACAGCTTTGATCCCTTTCCACACAGCTTAAAGAAAGGCAAGTCACAGACCCTGAGGCTACCCACAAATGTCAGACAATTAGGTGTTTGCTTACACCTCGGATGGGAGTGAGGAGGACATGTTAGGGTCTATGTATTTAGAATATTTGAATAGAAGGTCTGGGAAACTGAATGTGATGTTCTCAGTGCCTCTAAAACAACCTGTAAAGTGTAATTTTATATAAATAAAAACACAAGGAGAGAAAAAAAACAGCAGAGGGACATTTAAAACAATAAAATATATTTAAAATCAAACAATTTCAATAAACTCCATTTGCAAATTAAATAAAAACCTCCTAAAAGTGAATGAACAACATACTCAAAATCTCTATAAATATAAAATGTCCAGGTGATGATCTTTGTTTTTTAGATCATCAAACAATACAAAGCAGAAAAGTAGAAAAGTCAATACTCCAGTTTGATATTCTTGTACTTGAGATCAAACTTGACTTCCTCTTTTGTTTAGGTTTCAGCATTTTGTGTAACTTCAGTAAAATTTCACTGCAAGATTTGATCAAGACATTTATTATTGTACATATTCATGTTATAAAATGACTTAACTGACTAGTGTAACAAAGACCATTCTAAATGAGCCCTTTATGTAAATAAATAGCAAAGTGATACAGTTATTATTCTAAAAGTATTCACACCAAGGTAACCTCTTCATTTGATGGTCCCTGACAGAAAGCCTCTGGGTGTCAACATTTGGTTAGTATTTGGTTACAGATCACATTTCAGGTTAAATAAATGTTGTGAAACAGTATGCACTCTACATTTGGTAGAGCAACTCTCAGATTGTTGGACTCAGTGTTGGACTAAAATGGGCTAAAACATTAGAAGTCTGACAAGATATCTACAGAATATAAATGCAATCAACTTTTACCTTTAGCATTGTGGCATGCCATATTGACAATACATACAAAACTTTGGTTAAAGGTGAAAACTAAAATTTTTTCCTAACGTTTTGAATAATCTGTTTTAGTACAAGATGGCTCTGATGTGTCATCTGTTGCAGCTGCCAAACCTGGAAGAAGGTTCCATTTTCGCTCGGATGGTTCCTTTCCCACCTTCGCTGAGAAATCAAAGGGGAAAGCAGGAGCTGATGAAAAAAATGACAAGTGAGTGACAGATGCCTTGAGGAGCTGGAGGGATGAGGGGAGGGTGATGGTGGAGGTGCGTTAGCCGGCAAGAAGTAGAACTACGCCACAGGTAAGAAGGTGCCAAAGTAGACGTCTGATGCACCTTTGATGGTGCCGCCGGGCAGCGGTGACACAGGTAAGAGGCGAAGTGAAGGGGGGACCTTCCAGGCTCTTCACAGCTGCTTCTTTGCCCCTGTCATACACATATTCACATAAAAGAAGCTTGAGAAAATGCAATTCTGCTTTTTGAGCAAGGAGGCCCAGTCAAATTATATGACAGTTACACAGTAAAATTACAATGTCACCTTTTTGTGTGGCTATGTAAGGCTTAGCACTGTCTGTCCAGCAGTCAAGTTAGTAATACTCTTTTGAGTACAAAGCAGAATAGTAATGCTTTGATTAATGCTTTAGATTAAACTAAAATCTGCCATCTGCTAAAATCTTTATACTTTAAACTTAACTGTATAAATATAATAATGTTTTTGATAGGCAATTGTTTAGAAATATAGCTAAAATGTTAGCAATACTCTTTTGAGTATTACTAACTTGACTGCTGGACAGACAGTGCTGGTTTGGGTTGCCTGGATCCACAATTTGACTTCTGCATTGAGTTCAGCAGTTTGTCACTTGTTTTCTTTTCTTTTAACATCCCCATTCTCATCCCACAACTTTAGAACAGGTGTCCAATGTAATTACTGACTGTCTCTTTGGCTGCTCCCTTTTTAAAAATATGCTTTTTCCCTATTATACTCATTCTGATTGGGTAATGTGCAAATTTCTTTGTAAATAACACCAACACTAAGCATTGAATTTAAACCTTCCTTCTAGAATTAGCTAATGTGGAGCAAACATCACTATCTACACCTGACCTTGATATGACCAGTGCAGTTTCTTCTAGCTTCATAACATATTTATTCATTGTGTTGTGTGTGTTTCCAGACTCTTTTCTGCTGTTCTACTTCTGACAAATCAAGAACATTGTTACAATTATGTGTTTTTTTAAACCAGCATAAAAGCATAGATGAAAAAGTTAATTTTGAAGTCTCATGACATCCTCAGTTATCCACTGATAAAGATTTTTTTATTATTATTTATGAAACAGTGGAAATCCAGCCTTGTTTTCTTACTTGTTCTTGAGGTTCAGTCTTACTTCCAATTTGGCTCAGTTTCCAGTGATTGGAAAAACATATATCCTTCAAAATGTGATGTACAGTGGTGGCAGTGTGGAAATACTATTCTATAGCAACAATAGAGAAACTGTTGGAGGGTGCAAACTAATTGAGAGTGAATGGAGATTCACCCTCCAACACAACAACAACCCTAAACATGCAGCCATAGCTACAGTATGACTAAATGGTAAAATCATTTTCAATAAATAAAAATATGATTTCCCAATAGGGATGTTTCACCAGATTAAAGGTACCTTTGAAGAAAATAACCTTGAAGCAGATATAAAACAAACTTTGTTTGTAAAAAAAAAAAAAAAAAATCTTAATTTTTCTTCCATTTCGAAATACAGCTTTTGTTGGTCACATAAAATGACAATGAAATGCATTATAGTTCATGGCTATAATGTGTTTTTTTTTAAGTGCTACGTACTTTTGCAAGGCACTCTATCTCAAATGCTGAACCATTTAGAATAACTGTGCATAACTGTGCATTTAACATTCATTTCTTAATAATTATTTTGCCTTTCTGATACATTTCCCAATATATTACTTGCATTTAGAGAATACTGAAACATGTTAATAATCTTTGTCACATATACAAAGCCGTCAGTCATCCAGAAGTATTGGTTTTAGGGAAAGGTAGATCACTCATAGAAAGCCCATAGTTTTCACACAATTTCTAAAGATTTGAACAATCAAAAAAGCAACTCTGTTTTTCTCCATACAGATGAACTATAAATTAATCAGAGGTTTAATATTTTATTTAAGCGCCCTCGGTGGCGAACGGGGCACCCATCTGTCTCTCTTCTCTCTAGTGAGCCGTGGCATGTTTGACTGAAGTGAAAGAGAAAGAGAACCTCTGACTGCCTGCAACGCAGCTCTTTGCTGCTGCTCAGTGTCACTGCCACTCACCCGCTGTCCTGATGTGTTCGTTTCCCTCCACCTCCATTAATGTCACTGTATTCCAACATGCTTGCAAATGGAAACCCATACAGGCCCTCAAACTGGGGAGAAGGGGAACACTTCATTTATGTTTTAGGTGTACATGGATGCTTTAAAGACAGAACAAGAGTGGTATTTTTTTGGCATATAAGGTTTACATTAACAGATCTGTCTTTGAAATTCTGCTTTAAAAATTCTTGTTTTGTACTTTGGTGACCTGGTCTACAACTGAACTCTGCTGGTTGTAATCCAACTAGGCTGGCTATGGCCCCACAGTTGGTGAATGGAGATGTTTAAAGCACACTGAGTGACAAGGTGCATAAGAGGTCAGCATTCTAGAGGGGCGACCAATTGGATCATGACCCATGAGGGACAGATATGGGCAAGGGATTTAGCCTCAAAGGTCGCACCGGGGTCAAGGAGTGTCTTGCATTCCAGACCCCTAATCCTTTCCCTGCTGTCTGGAACGCTGGCCTTCACTGTTCAACACATCAATCCCCATATGAACAAAAACACACACCTCTCGAATATGCTGTGCCTTAAACAAACTTGCACCTCCTGCATCCACATCGCCACCCTACTATTTGCCTTAAGCAGAGAAAGCGTGGGCTTTAGGTGCCCCCTCACTCAATTTTCTGACCTTCCACTTAACCACCCACCTCCTACAGGGCCATAGAGTTTCTCCTCTGCTGAGACATCAGAGTGGCAGGGATGTAGGTAATTTGTCAGGGGAACCCAATCCCCACTGTTCACGCTCATGTGTGTGTGGGTGTGCGTGCGCGCGTGTGTGGGTGGGTGTGCGTGGCCAAGCATGTGCGTGCACTGGGGGCTTTCTCTGGGAATTTCTCAGACTGTGTCGCCAGTGAAGGCAATCCCAGACTGTTCAGTGTCAGCGGCTATGTAAGCAGTGACCATAATGGCAGCCATGAATTGGAAGCTAGGGCATCCTGGCCACAGTGATTCAAGCCATCCATCAGCCTTATGTGAAACGCATGTCATCTAACACCGTGCAGCATTTTAGGCCGCCTCTGTCGAACACATATATCTTACATGCAGCACAGATGATTTTGGAAGTCGAACCTGTTGACATTTACTCCCTGGTATCCTATCACACACTTAAAACCCACAAACACAGTGGCAAAACTACCCCTGCTGTGGCTTGGACTAAAACAGCTTGTGTGCAGCAACATACACTAACCATCAGCCTCTAAATGTTTGTGTTGGAGCAGCCCTCCTGCCGGGCTTTAGTTGAACCCCACCCCCAATCCCCCTACTCACTTCCTATCCCACTACGCTATACCAAACAGAGCCAAATAAAACACAGGCTAACATAATGTAGCAGCATGTCAGCGGTGGGCCCTGGAGCAAGTCTGAAACATGACCCACTCTGAACCAGCCATTAGGACGAGAGTTAAAGCAGCTACGGTTTCGTTCTTGCCGCACAGCCCTTATGTTGCCCAGTGCAAGGCCTGTATGTGTCTGGCAGCAGCAGATTGAGTGATGTATCCTGTGTGGCTATAGTGTGTACAGAGGACCAGAGGGAAGTCCCAGAAGGGGACTACTTCTCCCTTGGCCCACAGGCCACTGCACTTCATCAGTTTCTCCAGTGGGAAAGGCCTACCACTGGATCTCAAGACATGACGAAGCTTACACACAAGACAAAATCAGGTAATCCAAGCAAAGGCACAAGCTAAATTATAAAAGGTGTTATTTCTGTTTTAAAATTAGTAACAGCAAGTGAATCCACTAAGTCATGTAAATATCTTATGAAAATAGTTATTAGCTTGTATTGTGTCTATTCTCCAAGTGTCAATTATGGAGGACTTGGCAGCAGTTGAAAGCTGGAGACCACACAGTTTTTTGGAATTAAATTGTTTAGATACTACACCCAAAGCACAGGAAGATATTTGCCTGTCTGTGTCTGGAGAAAAAAAATTATGAAGAGATTTGTAAAATGTGGTCACTTGTAATCACTTGTGTTGCTAAAGCAGGAGGAATTCTGTTTGAGGGAGCACCTCACTAATTTCTGCCTTGGAGACAGAGTTAAAAGAATCACAAGCACATGGGCCCATGTCAAAGCATATGGTCTGGCACAGTTCCTAGGCTCAGATACAGGCCACAAGCACAGATTCAGAGAAGGTGAGAAATACCTTACCTTCTCTTGCGTTGATGATGGTGACTCCAAAACTTGAGAGGCATGTAGGGAATTTCTCATGCCTCAGCAGGAAGCAGGGATCCCTTCTCACTCTTTGCACAGATAGATTCAGAAGACATACCACGCAAAACCTTGCTAATCTTGAAGCATGCAGTGTGGCTACTGGTATCAAGTGAAACAAGGTCGTCTGACAAATTTTCTACAAAAAAATTACATATGTACCAGAATCTTTTAGCTTTCATGACGCAGACATGTTTTGTGCAAAGCCTGCAGTCAGGGTTAGTATAAGCTTTACATCTTGTAAACATATTTGTTCATATTAACATTTTAGTTTATTTTGTCACATCACAGCCACAAAACTGATACAACAACTCAAAGTTGTCCTTAATTATAAACTGAGCATAATTGTCAACATTCCTTACAGATACCAATTTCATTAGCAAAATACTCCACTCTTAGTCAGACGGAACAGAGGATATTTGTGAATAGATTTTACAACCTGAACTGTGAATTTCTACAGCCCCTTTAAAGCTTACAGTTTTCCTGTTGATGACTTCTTTGATCGATGCTTTCTTACTCAGTCTGTCAGCTCAAGTGGACAACTATGTCATAACATTTTCATTTTCAATTGCAGAACTTTATTCAAAGCTATTTAAACATAAATAAAACTTACAATATTGTTTCACCACAAACTTCAGAGAAAAAAGAGGGTTCAGGTGGCTTGTTGAAGAAGTAGGGCATATTTTAGAGAAACTCTTTTGATAGAGACTCATGGTGAGGGAAGTTTTGAGTGCAATTGAAAGTCTCCAAACTTAAAGCAGTGATGAAAAGTAGCATCATGTCATTAGAGATTGCCTCTGACAGAAATGAGAAAACAGAACTTGATAAAAGCCTTGAGAATGAGATGGACTTACTTCACCAAGAAGA